TCTTATATGCATACTAGAGACCCAGTGCATGGATTCATGCATTGGTGGGGTCTTTTGGCTTGGCCTGCAGGGATCAGGCCAAAACCAGCTCTGCAATATCCCCCGAGGAGTCCTTGATTGTGAGAGGGCACAGGCCAGGCTGAGGGAGCCTACCAGTGCATATATCCCTGTATCTAGCCTCTAGTATTAAGTAATTTTCATTCTGCAGATGGGAAATAGATGTTTCAAAGCATTTTGGAGACACAAAGGAATGCATATAGTAAGAGATTCTAAGGCAAGATTATTGAGAGAGCAGCATAACTTTTACTTGTAAGTCATTTTCTAACAGCACCAAGTTCCCATGGTTAAAATATTCAGAAAGAAATACATATTACTGAAATGGTCATCTATCTCTGATGATTTTTAAAGAATCTCTATAATGAGCATCTTAGAAATCATCTCTGATACTTTTATACAGCACAATGTATTCTAAGTAATCTAAGGTGAATGGACAGGTCTGTAGATGACTTCAAATAGATCCCAAGCATCCCACTTAGATGCCATTAATCTTTCTGCAGGGCCAACCAATTCTCTCTCATGGTATAACAGTCAGTTAAAACTGCTTGTTGGGAAAAATTAAATTAAATTCAAAATGATGAATAATTCTTAAGGAACATACATTGTAGCTTTTACTCAATGTTATAAAAAATGCAATTAAAATGTAAACAAATGTTTCTTGCCAGAGGATCAGTATTGCTTTTGCAAAAAAACAGATTGAAATAGCATAATTTTTAAAGGTGTATTATTCTCTAAAAATTTTATAGATATGGGCTGTATATAACGGCAATTTATTATTTACAACTTTCCCTTTAACTTTTCTTGAATTTATATCCTTTGAAAGTAATTTTCAATAGCTCAAACACTTCTCAAAAGATTTTTTTTCATGTATTTACAATCAAAATATAAGTTTTAAAAAACTACTTTGATCCTCCATTATAAATTCTTGGCCATTCAAATTTCCCTCTCATTTTGAACAAACTATAATGTATAAAGTTCAGGTTAGATTTTGTGAAACTAATCTTACTTTATTTTGAAATTTAAAAATTCCCCCCCAAAATAATATACTTAATAAGAGTTGTTTACTATACATGCAAATGAAGTCTTATTTCAAATAAGCATTACCAAAAGCCATATATTTTAAGTCCTGTTTCTCATGAACATTAGGTTATGCATTGATTCACTATGTAGAATGATTTCTTCTTTTACTTTAATCTTTTAAAAGTGAAGATGTGAATACATGATAGTGGTAAGACATTGTTAAGTCTGTACCTTGAGTGCTACTTTTTACAATGAAAGAGAGCCAGCCATTCAAATATTATATTTTACCTGACAGGATTCTGTGTTATAATCCTGTTATTCCCCTCATTACTTTTGATGGGTCATGTAACTTCTCTAGGTCAGTTTCCCCATTTCCAAAATAAGTGTGAGATCCTCCCTTCCCCCAACTGGTAGGTGGAGTTATGGCATTACTGGCATCTGCTGTCAAGACATCCCGAAGACACTGAACCACCAATCAGCGCGTGCCAAGTGCCCTGGGGCCCATCCCTTCCTGTTCCGCCCTGGGTCCAACCCTTTCCTGTTCCTCCCCTCAAAAGGCTCTTCACCACTCCACATGTTCCTGCTTTCCATTTCCGTCTATGAAGGCAACCAGTTGGGTCCCTTCTCCTCAACCCCCCCTTCTAATCCTGATTTCTCTACCTCTGTAATGAGTCCCGCTCATTACTGGGGAATAAACCTTCCTTTATTATATCTTGCTGGTCTCCAACTCCACTTTCCTGCACCTCAACCCTTACAATAAGGAGGTTGGACTTATATCCCCCTCAGTATAAAAAATAAGAATGACTTATAGGATCCTTCCTATTCAACAGTCCAAAATTTCTTCTCTGACTTCGGACAGGCGCTGTGTCTCTCCCAAGATTGATCATCCTAACAGGAATTATATAATAGATTTTAAAAAATGTTATGAGCAATAAATGAAACCACAATTAAAGTTTTTATACATGCAATGTGATACAGGGCAGAGAACACAACAGGGTACATTCCTGTCTTTGCAGTAATAATACAAAGCTCAGCTATCTGAAACTAGGTGATTTAACTCAAAATCTATGATACTTTGTCACAATTTCATTTCCAAGTTAGGAGGAGCAGGGCATTCTAAATAGTCATTCAGACACGGATGGAAGCTATGAACCATCTGAAAGCCCTTTGAGTGAGGTCTGTTTTGATTTATAGGCTGATTGTTCCTGCATCTTTCTACCCTCTGGTGTGTTGGGAGGAAATAAAATGCAAGCGATAACACATCAAAACTACTGCAGCACTTGCTCTAAACACATGCCCCAGGCTGTGGAAGAGAGATGAGGGATACACCCAGTCACTAAAGAGGAGTGGTATCTATCCAAAACTTATAAAAAGACAATAGCTTGAGTGAATCCATGAATTCAGTAGCTACCAATTAAGTGTCATGGAGGAGACCACCTGACTTGGTTTTGCTGTAGTGCTTTTTATGTGTGTGGTTGAAAGACCAATTGAAAAGAGATTAATTCTAAAGTGTGTGGACTACTTATTATCATTGAAACATGAAAGACATTCATCTGAAACTGCAATTTTAAGCTTAAGGCAAATCACTGTAGCTTCACACACACACACACACACACACACACACACACACACACACACACACAATTGCTTTGCCCAGAGACAGTGAGGTTCGGCTAAACTTGGTGCTGACTGCAGAAATACTCATGTTCTTACAGGATACCTTTAGCTAGAGATCCATGGATTCCCTTTCCCTTTTCCAGTCCATGTGGGGACTAACCTCCTATAGATAAAGCAGACTGACTGTAGGCTGGCCTGTTGCGAGTGAAAGAGAGGAAATAGGGTGGGTGTAATTTGGTTCTTTCCCCAACCCCAATTCCCATCCTCAGAGAAGGTTTCAAACATTTGATATTTTGAAATTATGTTTGTAGTTTGTTGTTTTTTGTTGTTGTTTATTTTTTAGCATATTTCCTTGATTGAAAATGCAGATAATAAAATTACCACCTATATTGTGGTGATCCCTATGAAGCTGTTAGGATAGTATCAGGCACAAAATAAGAGTTCAAAAAATGTCAATGATGTCATTATAATAACCAGTAGCCCTACAATGAATCCGTGCACCTTAGCTCTCTGTGGGGCCTTGCCATGCCTGCTGCCGAGAGACTTCCGAGGCTCAGAAGCTCATCTGCGGCCAGGCACAGAATGCTTTCTTCCTTGCCACCGTGGCAAGGAAGCAAGCATTCCTCCAGGCCACTCACATTGCCTGCTCTCAGTGGCTGGCCCCCAGGACTGGGGGACTCTGGCGGGGCTGAGAGGACTGGGGTACCGCCATCTTGTGGCTATGGATGTTTCCACTTTTGTGATGGAGTGATGGTTAATTTGCATATTACCCTTTTATTAGATAGGATTATAGCAATTAACATTATTTTATTATGTCCACAGAGATTAACACAATCCTGAGTCATACTATATATTTTTAAAGAGAGAAGACATCTAACCATACTTCATGGTGGGAGGGATCAATTCCCTCCCACCATGAAGTATGGTTAGATCCAACCTGTCAGAATTACATCCTCTTGCATTTGTTAAAACCATAGCATTTCTAATCCCCCTTAGGACTCTTCTGTACACTACATACTAGGCAGTGCCCCACCCAGTGAGTTCACATAAATGGAAAACAAGTAGGGATGACCCCAGTGACTGTTTTTCACTGATGCTTGCCCAAATCATGTTTATATGATTAGACTATTTCCTTTAAAATTAATCAAAGTATGTCACTGCTTACCAAAAACACCTACAGCTGACCCATAATAAATTCAGTTATTGAACTTTACATTTTAGAGATCTACACCAAGCATGTCAAACTCATGGCCCACAGGGCTACATGCCTCATTTATTTGGCCAGTGTTAACCTTTGAGTTTGACGTGCTTGGTCTACACCAGTGGTTGGCAAACCTCGGCTCGCTAGCCACATGCGGCTCTTTGGCCCCTTGAGTGTTGTGGCTCTTCCACAAAATACCATGGCCTGGACGAGTCTATTTTGAAGAAGTGGCATTAGAAGTTTAAAGTTTAAAAATTTTGGCTCTCAAAAGAAATTTCAATTGTTGTACTGTTGATATTTGGTTCTATTGACTAATGAGTTTGCCGACCACTGGTCTACACCATTAAACTTCAGCTCAATGAAGCAAGAGGAACCCTGGCTGCAGACACCACAAGAAATTTTGGTAAGCTAAATAAAAAACAGCTCTTATGGAAAATATTCACACAAATTGAAATTCATGAGCTTGTGATCTTTCTCTGCTCATTACCCTAACGAGTGCCAATCCCATCAAAAGTGACAGCACTTAATGACAAAGAAGGATGAGGATGAAGTGGCTGATACCTTTTATCCTGAGAGAGTTGGTCAGGTCAACATCAAGTAAGCTCATCAGGTCACAGATGAAACAACTTTACTTCCTTCAGAACATATTGAATATGTCGTAACAAAACTGTTTCATCATATAGACTTATTTTTTACAGAGTCTCTCTCTTGAAGCCTAAATTTTTCCAGAAATGCTCAAACATGACTGTATAGTATGCATAACACTCAAGGCATTTAAATAAAAATAGGCAAAGCAGTTACCTTAACTCCAGACACTGTATTTCTTTGTGTTTGACTTTCTTTTATAGCTATTATGCAACTGCCCATGCAAATCTTAATTGTGAATTACAGTCTGCTTCAGAAGAGGAACTTAATTCCTTCATCATGTCCTATGAGCTGCCCACCTCCCCCGATCCTACCTACATAAACACCAGTAGAAGACTGAACTTAAGGTTATGTCAATGGACTCCACAAACACCAGGTCTTCAGCAAACGTGCTTCCCATCCAGATCTAAAATGATGAGGTCATGAATTAGGAAGTGATTCCGGTGGCAGTGATATTTACCTCTTTGAGACAGCCCATAAAGTTGTTACTGACTGGTGACCCTGGGAGGTCTGCTGTGCTGGGACTGCCTCCGACATAGAAAAAGTCATCAGAACCCAGCATGGTGTAATCTTCTTGCGTGTAGCCCGTTGTGGTAAGAATCCCATCCACTGAGATTGTCACCTAGATAACAAAGCACAGGGAAAGGACACGCTATACTCAGACCTAGATACTGTAATCCTGGGATATGCCTGTTTTGTGTTTTGTTTTATTTTTTTTCATTTTTCTTTTTTTTTCTTTTTCTTATTGTTTTTTTCTGTTTTTGTTTTTATTTTTTGTCTTTTTTTTAGACCTATAGTGGAACCCATTTTCATGTCTGTTTGAGGTTTATCTCGGATTCTATTCAACTAGCCCTAAGAGAGCTAAGCTAGTTAGAGAGTTAACTGATTATTGGACTACTGTGTCAGCATCATCCCTACTGCAACTCAAAAGTTACTGAGCAGACACAAAAATGGTGTTAGTAAAATGCTGCCTAGGTTAGTTTTGCTGGTGTACATATTAGTAAAGTTTAGTCGTCCGTAATCCACTAATCACAACGTGCACTTGGTTAACATAAAAGGCACAAGCTCTTTCCAGCAACGTCACTCTTGGCACTACTGAGCAGCGGTGGTTCATGCAAGTGCCTAGGCCCATGCCGCAGGGAGGGGAAGGCAAAACAACCCGTGAAAGCCGCACACTGATGCGCACATGCAGGAGGGACAGTAGAGGAAAGGAAAGAAAACAGGGAGAACCAAAGGGGAAACCAACAAACAAACAAACGAACAAAAAACTGCTCTGTGATGACGTAAAGATGAGTGGGTGTGGCATCTCCAGCATTCCCAAATCAAGTGTGCATGCCATGCGTCATGAATGGTTAGGGACTGGCTGAGCCTGCGGTCACTCGGGCCAGCCACCGTTTGTCTTATCCCGTGTTAACCACAGCTGGATGCAAAAAAACGTTCGAAACGTTAACGATGCCCCCTACGGGTGAGTTTGGAAAAACAGAAGTTGACAGGAACAGGTAAAAAAAAATAAGGAGGTCCACAACGGATGGAAAGAAGGAGGTCAAAGTAAGCAGAAGAGTACCAACCGCAGTTCCTCTTTTGTTAATGATGTCTACAGTTAAAAAGAAAGAAAGAAAACACACGGCAAACCCAAAATAAGAAACAATTAGAATGATATCTACCGAACAATGTAGTTTGTTTACCATAGCGTGTCCAATGCCTGAGTGCTTTGTGGAGAAGGGGGGAGAAAGGAAATTAAAAACTGTGAACAGAATAACGATCGTTACTTAAAAAATATGATGGTCTCTACCATGTTAGTACATTTTTTTTTTTGATTCAGGTAACGGTTAGTAGAATGAAACATTCCATGAATGACATGTTAGTTATTAAGCATGTTAGTAACATAGAAGAAGGGCAAAAAAATTTTACAAGAAAAAAAAAGCAGACTAACAAATAGGCCTCCCACAGAGGTAAATATTTTTTTCCTGCCAGTTTGGTTCATAACTTGCTACCAGACAGAAACAGACATATGGCAACATTCCCTTTGTCTCCCTGAGTGCAACTGACAGACATTTTTTAAAAAGTTCAGAAGGGATTTAAAGGCCTGAAAGCTCATCCATCAACTGACCACTGCCGCCCTATGCCCATCAGTGACCCCGCCCCGGCCCCGGCCCTCCCCAGCCCCAGCAACTTGGTAGGAATCGGTTGGCATTGCCCTGCTACTCAATTTTACAGCATACAAGGACTCCTCCTCAACTCCAAAACTTCCTTCGGTCATAGTGATGGACTTTAGGATCACAGATTACTGCAATGAAACAAAGCAAAGATCCTGACACAGAAAAATGAGTCGAACGGGGTTGTGTCCAATCTGTCCTGCCACACGTGCACCCCGGCTGAATGGCTATGGTGTCCTTTGAGCTACCAATTCAGAGTTTGCTCTGTGACCTGAGCAAAGGCAAATCTAGAAAGTGGGCTCCTCGAGCCCCACCCTTCCCTCTGTGCTTCTCTCAGATGAGCTTCCAATCTTTTGGTGAGTATCTGAGAGAATAAAAAAAAAATAAATAAAAAAAAATTAAAAAAAAAAAAAGGAAAACCAAAGAGACAGACTTATAGGAAGTCCGGGATCTACAGCTGTACTGAGGGTGTGTGACCGGCCCCCAAGGCCGGGATGATGCCTGCAGGGCCCCTTCCATGCCAATCGGGCCTCTGAAAGGCGCTTGGGGAGGCCTGGGGAATCCTTCGTGTCACTTGCCTGCCTTAGCTCGGCTATCGCTGCTATCCTCAAATCTCCTAATCCTTCTCTCCCCTGGCTAGTCTAAGTCTCTCAAAGGGGGGAAAGAAGAAAAGGTTAGACAGTTAACAGCTCAGAAAGAGAGGGCTGTTTTAGTAAAGGAAAACCCGAGACAATCGATCCCTCTGCAACTGTTCAGAGAAACAACAAATAATGTTAAGGATATTAGTTGGAGATCAGTATGTACTGCAGAAAAATTAGTCACTGTCAACACTTCACAGAACGATACATTGTAATTTCATGAAAATTTAAATGAAACCAGAGCTTGTCAAGTTCAATATATAAGTATAGTCTACTCACTTTCATCTGTACATATATTTATATATACTGTAATAATATGTCTCAGTTAAAAACATACAGTATATGTGGACCCATAGATTAAGTACAGAATTGATCATTATATATAGACTTGTATATAGACTTCTGTAAGATTTAAAAAAAAACAAAAAACATTTGAACAGAAATGGACACCTAGCATGTGAACTGGCCTCTCCGTAGTCATTTGGGTTAAACTAAAAGTATCTGTTCTAAAAATGAAATAAAAAAATAAGATAACTTCATAAACAGACTCTTCAGGAGATAGGTAAACTCCTAAATCATTTTTTCCCCGCAGAGATTTTTTTTCTTGTCCCCATTTCCAAGGTGGGGGTGTGGGAAGGGTGTAGGGATTGATACAATCCCGGATCACAAACACATGTTTATTGACTACAAAAAAGGAACTGTGATTTAATGACCCCAATGTGCATGCTTCCAAATGATCACCATGACAACTATAATTTGAAATCAAACAAATAAAAAAAAATCAAAAAACACAACAAAACCACACACATCACAGGAAGGGCAAGTCGCAGAGATATCCTTGCAGCCCCCTGGGAAACTGTCCTAGGTCACTGTATCCAAGTAGCCTTTGGGTCCCCAGAACTTTCTAGATATGCCCCTGCTCAAGTATGGCAGGACGATTCTTCTCAAAAAGGAAAACAAACAAACAAAAAGAAAACCCACAGCTAATTTGTAAGCGACTCCGAGGAGCCCTAGACCATGTTGTTAGGGTTTCCAGGTACCACACACACAGCTGTAGCGGGAAACAAAGCCAGTTACTCTCTTATCCACTGCGCTGTTACCTGACGCAGATTCCTGGTGACTTTCACATCATGCCAGGCATTATCATTAAACTTTCCATTCACGGGCTCCACTAGGGCTTCAAAGGCCCCTGATCCCAAATTAATGACCAGAGAGACCGCTCCATTTTTCAGGGCAAGATTGACATAATCGGCGGATTTCCCGGTGTGAAGCATCAGTCCATTCCTTTGGAGGGTTTTAAAGGACAGAGTTATTTCGTCGCTGCTGCTCTGGATGGGGTTTTGAGACAAGTCGTAGCAGAAGTATTCAGATCCCTTGAAAGTGGCAATGTATTCTTCTTTTCCTAGAGGGAAACAGATACATACGTGCATCAGTAAAGCAATATACTATTGCAAATCAGCAGATCTCAACAGAAAAAAAATTATATATATATAATCAGTCTGCAAATTAACTCTTTGGCTTATAAACATTTCTGACCGATGACAGCCCTGTCAAAGGAAGTAAAAAAGTACTATCGGTGGCAGTATATACCATTCAATCAACCTCCTCAGCCATTGGACCATTAACTACGGTAGCTAAATGTGACATTCTTGAAAATTCAATTAATTTTTAAGTATCACTGCAAGAGTTCTGATCAGAAGGAAGTAGGTCTGCGATATCTCTGGGGCATGAATCAGGTACCATAAATGCATATGGGATAGTTCTACTCCACTGGCAACAATGGTTTCCAAAGTATTTGCAACTTTCTCTCCATCCAACAGAGGCATTATTTTAATTTTCAGTAAGATGTTTATATTCAAAGATCTTCTCAGTTGGATGGAGAGAAAGTTGTATTCATCACTGAGCCAAATGTATTAATTACTGAGAAACCATAACCAAGTGTATGGTGAGGGGAAAGCAAAGAAAAAAACAACAGAATTTTATCTGGGAGTAAACAGATTTCCTTTAGATCATGTGTATTTTTTCCCCTCTCTGGATAAAAGGAGCAGTGATAGAAAAGTTAATGGGGAAAGCAAAGAAAAAAAATAGAATTTGGTCTGGGAGTAAACATATTTCTTATATATCATGTGCTTTTTTTTTCTCTCTCTCTCCCTGGATAAAGGGAGCAGTGATAGAAAACTTAATGGAGTCAGCTGGATTGTTGATTCATTCTCCAATCTCATCAAACAGATGATAGGGCTGGCTTTTATGAGACTGGTAGGAATTTCCAGCACGTCATTATGGGGATAGCATATAAATGAAATCTCAAAATTTTCTCTATATTCAGACTTTACCATATGTAGGAGTAATAGTATGAATCCCACAAGATGCTATACAGATCAAACAGTAATGTGGTTATTTGGAAAGAACTGTCTTGTCCCACAGATGAAATGAATTTAACCAAAGGAAGATTGCAAGTCGAAGACTCCCTCAGCATCCTGGGCAATTATGGTATTGTGCCAAGAAAACTGAGATGGTTTGGAATCAGCTTCTGCTAAACTATAAACATAGAACTCCAAGTAGTACTGAAGAATCTTAATCCATTTCACTGGTAATATAGCATATCTACTCTGCCTACTGGAGGATTCATATACTAAAAGAAGTCTCACTCTAATGGTGGTAATATTTATCTAAAAGTAGATAGATATCCTATCAAGAAATGAAAAGATCCCCAATCCTATGAGTCTCCAGGAAAAAGGCACAATCAAACTATATTAAGATATAATTTCATAGCCATAAAATTGATTTAAAAATTTTAAAAATTGGACAATTCCAGATTTTGGAAAAGCTGTGAATAAACAGTGATTCTTATTTACTGCCAATGAGAAGAAAACTGACCGACTATAATAAATACTATTTGGGACCAGGCGATCCTGTGGGAATTTTACATATAAAGTTCTTAGAAAATGGTTATCATAATCAATAAAAATATCATAATCAAATAAAAATGGTTATCATAATAAAAATAGTTCTTTCAATTCACTACTCTCTGCTCATAGTTTTAATCATTAGATGATAGGTAGTCAAGTGAATTTGGATTCATATATATGTACATACATGATATAGAGTGGTCCTCTTATCTGAAGATGATATTTATCAAATGTTCATCCCCAGTGAGTATTCAGAACAAGACTCTGAGCCATGGAAGATTTAAAGGTCCACCTTAAACCTTTAATTTACATTATGAAGAAAGTGAGGCCTCTGAAATTTAAATGACTTGCCCAATTCAGAAAGTGTGCCAGTTACAGAAGCAGGACTACACCTCAGCCTTCTGACTACCTGTAAGGAATGAAAAACAAAGTCCGGGGACTTGAAGAGATTTAGTCTAATTAAAAGGCTGTAGCATTTTATCTGTGTGACCTCATATCACTCCAAATCTGCATAAGTTGGGAGGAATCTTGACAAAACATTTGTTTGCTAGATAATATGGCAGAGTCAAAGGGTATCAGAGTTTGCAGTTCATTAGATGGCAAGTTTTTAACATATTTAACAATGATATTCCTTTAACTTAATATAAATGAAAATATAATATCACTCCTTTTGCATAGTTTAATTTCAAATTTGGGTAATTCAGGTCTGCATTAAATGCACCCACACAATTTTGGAAATATTCACTCTGTAGAATATGCCATTTCCTTAAAACATAGTAAATGAGACAAAATGTTCTTTTTCATGAAAGAAGATGTAATTTATAATCATTGAAAAGTTTTTTTATGCAACATTAAATATATTATTACTATTGCTATTATTTTAGTTTTACATAAATTATTCTACTTTCCATGATATATGTTTTCTCCAATACTTTATCTTTTACTGTAAGTTTTGTGTTATGTCATATGCAAATAGCAGCCCAATAAAGAATTACATATGCTTTACTGTTAAACGTTTAAAGGGTCTATGTCAGTTGGAAAATAGCCCAAATAACCAAATATCTAATTCACATCTAAGATATGTTGAAACAATAAACATCCAACGAAATATAGAATCAACAAATATTTATATCTAGGATACACGAAGAATTTATATACATCAATAAGAAAAAAAGGACTAGACAAATTAACAGGAAAAATAGACAAAATACTTGAGCAGACATTCCATGATAAAAGGGCATACATATGAAAAAATGTTCACCTTTATTAATTAATCTTCAGAGAAATAAAAATAAAACCACAAGAAGATATCAATATATTTCACTGAAAAGGATAACATGGAGAAGACAAAAAGTACCAAGTGTTTGTGAGAATGTGGAGCAACTAGAACTATCTTAAATTACTGGTGGGAACTAATATTTGAAATGGTTTGGCAATATCTTCTAAAGCTGAATATATGTTCCCCTATAACTCAGAAATTCTGCTTGTAAGTATACATCTGACAAAAATGTATACACAGACCATCAGAATGTTTTCAGTAGCACTATCTATAATCTAAAAGTGAACACTACTGAAATACAATCAATAGGAAATTGGATAAATAAATTGGGGTATACTCACCCTAGGGAATAGTAATCAGCAATGAGAATATCTGCTCTACAACTATTACATGTCAGATGCATGGGTAAATCTCACAATAATAATGTTGAGGGGAAAAAGCCAGACACAAAAGAGAACATATTTATGACTGTGTATATAAAATTTTTAAAACTAAGCAAAACTAATCTGTACTACTGTCAGTTAAGATAATGGCTAGCCATGGTAGAAAAGGAGAGGGAAGAACTTTTGGGGTTCTAGTAAAATTCTGTTCTTAATATGGGTGTTGGCAATGGATGTGTTCAGTGTGGAAAAAATCATTGTGCTCTAAATTTATGATATGTGCACTTCCTAGTATTAAATTTCAATAAAAAGTTTAAGTAATTTGGATAATTGATGATAAAACAAATGAATCTGATAAAATATTTTCTTCCTGATTAAAAGTGTGATGAGCAAGATACTAGTCCCATAAATGTTGCATTTATTAATAGAAACTTAAAAAATAGCCCAGCTGGTATTGCTCAGTGGTTGAACATCACCCAATTCCAGGTCAGGGCACATGTCTGGGTTGTGATTTCAATTCCCAGTGCAGAAGGCAGCCGATCAATGATTCTCCCTCATCATTGATGCTTCTATCTCTCTCTCCCTCTTCCTTCCTCTCTGAAATTAATAAAAATATATTTAAATATTAAAGTAATAGAAATAGTAATAATATAAATGATGTTGCATTTAAAAGCTTTTCAATGAATAGTAATATCCATTAATATAATTTGTTCTGCTAAACACCCTCATAAAATTTAGAGGAAATATATTAGGCTGCATAGATATAATTATAATTGTTTGGAGGACCATACTCTAAATGTATTGATAAATGAATCAATTGATCAATGGATCAATGAAGGGAATCTCTGTTATTAATGTTATGGTAGAATTAGAGGAACATTAAAAAATAAACTTTAAAAACTTGGAGCATTTATTTAATAATCTGTATTAATTTATTTTATGTTCCTGTAAATTGGAGGGAGAAATTGAATAGGGTGATTTTGTATTTTAATTCTATTCAATTTCCATATCTCCAATAGCTTAGATAAAATTGCATAGTTCTTATTTTTTCTAATTTTCTGAGGAAAAGTTCAATGGAGAAATTATAATTTTATAATTTCTTTTAATGTTGACTGGGTGAGCTGACTTTAAGAAAGATAAATCTAATGGGAATAAATATGAGTTCTAATTTCTGGTCCAAAAACACCCAAATGAATAAGTAATAATACTATACAGGAACCATGAGTCCCTAGACACAACAGAAATAAAGCAAATTGCCCAGCCAGTGTTGCTCAGTGGTAGAGGATCTATCCATAAGCCAAGAGGTCATGGTTCGATTCCTGGTCAGAGAACATTCTCAGGAGTTGAGGGCTCAATCCCCAGTAGAAACATCATCAGTGATATTTCTACCTATCTCTCCCTCCCCCTTCTTCTCTGAAAATAATAATTTAAAAAAGTATTTTTTTTTTAGAAAAAGAAATAAAGCAAAATCTTTGGAGGATTTAGAATATGAATCCTCAAATAATCAAGGCACTGAAAGAGTCCAGGTAATAAGCATGGGTTACATTTGTGACAATATTGGAAGAGGGATGGGATGGTCCTGTATCTTAGTGCTGGTCAGCTAATGACTGTTATACTTCTACTTGACAAGCTGGAATGTATTTGGATGTCTGCTAAGATGATAAAAGGCTTCTTGATTATGTAAGGTAAAGAACTCTCTGAAGAAAAGACTTAGGGTAAAAATGACAGCATCTCCAAATATCAGGAAAGATGTCCTTTAGAAGAGTAATTCCATTCTGTATGGAAGCAGGGGTATAAATAGAATCAAAGCATAAAAGAGAAAAAATACCTCTCA